AAATTCGTTTTCTAAACAATTCAATTCCATCTTTGCAATCAAACGGACCCTAAACTAAACTTAAAAGTACCCGATGGGGGGCTTAACCAGAAATTTAGGAGCAATTTCTCCCCCCTTGTTTGCCGGTTTAACTGGGGTGATTTTTCTGATAATAGATTTTTATTTATTTATTATTATTTTTATTAAGATAGATTTAAGCCGTTAAATTAATCTAATTTAAAAGTTAATATTATACAAAATACTAGTTCATGGAACGCTCACCATGACATAGTTTTACCCAAAAAAAAAAAAAAAAAAAAAAAAAGGTTTTTATTTGAATTTTTAAAAACGTCGACTTATATAACTTTAGATTTTTCTTCTATAAGCTATATAGGATGAGTGGTATTCGAAAACTTACCATAGGTGTCGACTCTTACACCCACCATTAGGGTCTATCTTGAAAATTTTGAAACCCTAGGCTACTCATTATTATGAGTCCCTTAAATGTAACTTTTTTGCAAGCGTAAAAAACAATTAAATATTTGAACAATATATTTATATTTTAAACGAAAACTTGGTACAATCCAAAAGATAGAGTAACAAAAACATCATCTCTGACAACTCGATTATTTAGTGAGAAACATAACTAGATTCTAACGACTTTGATTCGAGAATCTTTTAATAATTTAGAGATCTTGATGTATTAAAGTGAAAAAAATAATAAGCTATTTGAACAATATATCTATATTTTAAACGAAAACTTGGTACAATCCAAAAGATAGAGTAACAAAAACATCATCTCTGACAACTCGATTATTTAGTGAGAAACATAACTAGATTCTAACGACTTTGATTCGAGAATCTTTTAATAATTTAGAGATCTTGATGTATTAAAGTGAAAAAAATAATAAGCTATTTGAACAATATATCTATATTTTAAACGAAAACTTGGTACAATCCAAAATATAGAGTAACAAAAACATCATCTCTGATAGCTTGATTATTTAGTGAGAAACATAACTAGATTCTAACGACTTTGATTCGAGAATCTTTTAATAATTTTGAGATCTTGATGTATTAATGTGAAAATAAGTTTCGACTCATTTCGAAAATTGTAATAAATGGTATATCATGGACTCGAGAAAAAATTAATTTAGATAAATAAAATTGTAGTTATAATTCATTAAAGTAAAATACTTAATATTTAATATTAGTTTTCAAATTAAACTATATTACCATAACAATATTGGGCTCATTTGATAGCTCATAATTAATCATGTATCTAACTAAAAAAAAAATAATTATTATTTTTAATAAGTTCGAACTAATTTAGAATCGATAAAAAAAATTTATAGTTAAAGAAATTCTAATGGAAAATTTTTATAAGCAAGAGTTTGAGTATCACAACTTTCAAAATCAAGAAAACAAGTTTCAAAATTCAAAAATCGAATTTTTATTAAAATTTATTTATTATTTAATTAATAATAATTTAATTAATTTAGTTATATTATTAATTAAATATATTTAGGTCACAAATGCATATAATTTGGTCATAAATTAACGATTTAATTTGTCACTTATTATTTTTTGGTTACAAATCAGAAATTTTATATTTATTTCAAAGTCACAATTTAAAAAACTTATAGGTCACAGTTTATTTATCGATCATAAATCGAAAAATTTATAAGTCACGATTTATTTATTGGTCACAAATCAAAATATTATAAGTCACAACTTATTATATACTCACAAATTATTAAATTATCTATCACAATTTAACAAATTTTCAGGTCACACATTTTTTTTCACAGTTTATTTTTTTCATTGATCACATATTATTTATTGGCAGATTAATCAATTTAATAGTCATAGTCAACCAAATAATTTGTGATCACCATCAACACTTACAATCGCCATCTCATCACCATCTCCAACAGCACCACCACCACCGTCGTCACCTCCACCTCCTCTGAGCAGTAATACTACTACGTCCACTGCTATCGCACCGCCTGCACCACAACTATTTGCGATTATCACCAACCATGCTATAGCCACCACCTCACAAGCACCGAAGTCTACCTGTAACAAAGCCAAATCCACCTGCATCATCGCCAACAGAAAACACACCAAAAACCAATAAAATCTGACTATATGCACCAACGCCACCACCACATGAACCGTCGCCTCCAGTGCCCCATCACCGTCAACACCTCACCACAACTGCTAGCACTACCAGCACCAATACCACCACCACCACCTCACCGTCGTCAAGCGCTACTGTCGCTACAAACCACCGCATCTACCATCTTAAAATGCAACCACCACGTGTACCAACCACGACATCCACCATTTTCTCAATCCACTGCCACCATCACCTGCACTTACACCACAATCGCCACCTCCAACAGCAAAATTCCTAAACCAACCACTGCCACCGCCACCAACAAATCCACTCAAAAAACTCCCGTCACCACAAAATCCAAAAGAATGGTGGAATAAAACTTGACGGCTGGAAGGCCGACGAGAGGAAAATGTAGAGGAACTCGATCTATCTCTGGGTTCGATCTAGAGAAGGGATGCCGCTCTTTGTAGTGGAGATAAGTCATCGGAGATCTATGAACTAACAGTGGAGGTAAGACGCCGGAGAGCTGAGCACCATCGATGGAGGAAGATTATTGCCACAAGATGCCCTTTCAATTCCTTCGAAAGCAGTGGTGGACGCAGACATTTTAAATTAGCGGGGTGCAATTAAACTTGCAAAAAATACAGATTTACTTTTATACAAATACCACTATGTTTGTCATCCTTTTTATCTTTATCATCATTTTCATCACTTTTATCTTGAATATTCCTTTCATTAACATTGTGATCATTAAAAAAAAAAAAAAGCATATTTACTTTGAAATTATTTTTCCACCATTATTAATTTAAGTGAAAAATACAAAAATAACAGCAATTCTAAATGTTAAATTATCAAATGCATTCCAGTTCAAACAAAGACAAAAAATCAAAACAAGAATCTATTACCATAAAATCGTTAAAACGAGATAGAAATTGGATCCCTAATTTCATTTCATAAGAAAATACAAAGAAATCATAAAAAAGAAATAATTTCCCGAAAATTGAGGCATATAACTTTTGATAAATGAATCTCTAAAAAATTAAAACTTCATTCAAAATTTTCAAAATTTCTGGGCTGGAGATCTTTTGCTTCAAATCTGATTTCCATTAAAAAAAATTAAAAAAATAAAATTGGTGGGTCAAGTGACCCACCAAGACCCACTGTGGGTTCGCCAGTTTTTGAAAGGCACCTTGAAAGACTTGGCATACCCTATACTCAGCCCTGCTTGGAATGGATTAAAAAATTCAAATTTTAATCTAAATCTAAATCAACAATTAAGTTTAATCATATATTTCATAAAATCCACAATTTTTTAACCATATATTTCATAAATTGTTATCAAAATCTACTAAAAATTTATTTTTAATCACTACCAAACTGGTGCTCAGTAATTAGTTTCATGTGTATTTTATTTCTCCATATACATAGTAGTTTGCCAATTTTCTCTTGCCACAAGCCAAACTTAGTCAACTGTTGATGTATTAACATTAGTGGGTTGGTTAAAAGCTAAAAAACTTTCTAACGATGTCTTGTATTCTCCATCTCTTACATTTGACTTCAAATTTATCACAACTTTCATCTTCCTATATTTGAAAAGTATATTAATGCCTTTGAGAGGAAAAATCGTTTGAATGATAAAATTTATTAAAAGTTTTGTTAAGAGAATAAGAAATATTCAAAGACATTCCAATTTTGAAATTAGGCTAAAAATTATGCCACCACATTCTTTCGTGGCAAGTTGGGAGTAATTAATTTAACAAGATTAATGAAGAGAGACATATGAGATGATTGTCCTAAAAATAAATAGAGAGAGAGAGAAAGAGAGAGAGAGAGAGAGAGAGAATACATTTTGATTTAAGTAGACAAATATATGGTCCATAGGACTTTTGTTTTTGCTTCTTCTAGAAAAGATTTTGGAGAAAGCTGTCCTGAAATTCGAAAGCATCCTTTTAATCTTAAAACAAATTTCGAAAGTCTTACACATTTTCCACAATCTTGTCCATCATTCTTTCCATTAATTTAACTCTACTTTAATTTCTTTAAGGATTATATCGGGTTGATGATGGGAATTATTAAACATCATAAAATATGAAAATCAATGCTACCATATTTTTACACTGTTTAGATTTGGTCGATGATATTGTCATATATGTTGACTCAATTAGTGCGTTGTTAAAACTTATTGGCTACGTTGAATTTGAATACAAATGTTAATTCGTGGTTTCAAAGCCTATTTTGAAGAAATCTATGTTACAGTCTCCAGCCCACCTGCCAAGAAAATCTATTAAAGATTTTCCATTTTTTTAAGTTAATCTCAATAATCTACTGTGTTGAATCTTGTTAACATTGTACTTATGAAATTGAAAATAGACGTAATTCCCATCTAACTGTTTAACCTTTCAGATGAAACTAGTGTTAATCGTATCAGTTTTGGAAAAACTATCCTGCCACTGCCTATTTTTAAAGGTCGAATCGCCTTTATCTAAGCCAGCATGCCAAGGTAATCTTTAAATGTATTTTTCACTTTTAGTTTAATATTAATAAACGGATATTATTTGGTGGTTTAGTCAATCAAATTGAATCTTAATTTTTACCCACTAAAATTTATCAGCCAGAATTTACTTCTTTTTTTCATTGACTTCTATAGTTCTATATGTCAAACAATTTGTGCTAATACAGAACTCCACTCTTCTGCTAAAAAGTGGTAATTTTTTCTGCTTATTTTCAAACTATACCGTGAGAAGACTGTGAACTTTTAGCAAGACTGCAACCCACCTGGAAAATATTTTATTATATTAATCATTATTATTTTATCCCAAGGTCCAAAATCCAATAGCCGAAATTGCACAGAAACTAATTATGGCTTAAAGGTATAGAAACAAGTGGCTTTCTTAACAATGTCCCACAGAAACACGTTTTGAAGTCAAGAAATGGCCCCCGTCGTTTTGCTTTACAGTCCAACAATTTGGGAAAGTCCGAAGACTACAACCTTATCTTCCTCCAAATCTCGTAGATTTCTATGTTCAGCTGTTCACATACGGGAAATATAGGATTCTTTGTATCATTAGCCCTCAGAAATCAGAAATCTCGGCCGCCATCGTTTTTTTAATTTTCTTCAACTCCATATATTTTTTTCTTGTATATATATATGTATATATATATTTACATCTGCCATTTTTTATGTATTGAACATTTCTCATTAAGTTAACATAAAATATTATGGCTCCCTGGATGACATGGAAATTTTTCCTACTCAGTTGTTTCAAGGCCAAGAGTCTGCCTACAGAAACCAGGTGTAAAGTGTTGAAACAAGATTACGTCCAAAGGTTATCACTTGCTGATATAAGTGATCCCGGCTCGCCGCTTTCGGCAAGTGATCTCTCTAATTCTGTCATTGCATCAAATCTTCATATTTTCACTCTGGCAGAACTTAAAGAGATTACACATGACTTTTCATCAAGTAATTTTCTTGGTGAAGGTGGATTCGGGCCGGTGCACAAGGGATTTGTTGATGATAAGTGTAGGCCGGGAATGGAGACTCAGCCTGTTGCTGTTAAGTTACTTGATTTGGATGGCACACAGGGCCACAGGGAGTGGATGGTGAGAACTCAACAATCTTTCAATTTTCGTTTTTCCCTTTTCACTATTTTCTTCCATTATATAATTTTGTTTTATGTTTTAGACTGAAGTCGTCCTTCTCGGGCAACTAAGGCACCCCAATCTTGTGAAATTGATTGGGTATTGTTGTGAGGATGAGCACAGGCTTCTTGTTTATGAATACATGGCTAGAGGAAACCTTGAAAATCAATTATTCCGAAGTAAGTTTACCATCTTAATTTATAAATATAAGCCTCCATCTTAATGAAAATGAAAAAGTAAAAATATATAGACATTGACTAATGCAGGATATACTACTTCATTGCCATGGTTGACGAGGATAAAAATTGCGGTTGGTGCTGCAAAAGGCCTAGCATTTCTTCATGGGGAAGAGAAACCAGTGATATATAGGGATTTCAAGACTTCAAATATACTGCTAGACTCTGTAAATTCTCTACTTTAGTATTTTTTTTTTTTTTTAATACCTTCTCTTACCATTACTGAATCATAATCTCTGTTTATTTTCCAGGACTATACTGCTAAGCTTTCTGATTTTGGGCTAGCAAAGGATGGTCCGGAAGACAATGAAACTCATGTGTCAACGCGAGTCATGGGCACCCATGGCTATGCAGCACCTGAATATGTTATGACTGGTAAGATACTCAATCGTTGTTGTTTGATAACTTCGGAGACAAATTTCAATTTGAATAGCCCAAGTGTCACACAGCATCGATTTCTTATTACTATTTTGTATTTTTCGTAAAATCAAATCTCGAGGCTTCTCGCACAGTAAGTGGTATCAGGGCTCAACAATTGTCGACCAAGAAATTTCCTTACTGGATTTTTATGAAAATAAGACTCTAAAATTTGTTTCTTTCAGGTCACTTGACAACGATGAATGATGTTTACAGCTTTGGCGTGGTTCTCTTAGAATTACTCACTGGGAAACGGGCAATGGATAAGAACCGTCCTGCTAGAGAGCAGAATCTGGTGAAGTGGGCAAGACCTTTTCTGAAGGATCCTCATAAGCTAGACAGAATAATGGATCCAAGACTTGAATGTCAATATTCAATTGAAGGAGCCAAGAAAGTGGCTGCATTGGCTTTTCAATGCCTGAGCTATAACCCTAAATCCAGGCCAACAATGAATCAGGCTGTGAAAATCTTGGAGCCTGTCTTGGAATTGAATGATATCCCAGTTGGTTCCTTTGTGTATATTGCTCCCACAGAGGGTAAACTAGAAGAGGGTGATCCAAAGGAAGTACAACATGAACAAATTAATGAGGAAAAATTGCAAGGAAATGTGAATGAAATCAATCAAGAAGAGGAGGAAAGAAAGAAAGAGAGAGGGTACAATCAGCGACGAAAAGGTTACAGGCATATGCATAGACTAAGGTCTCGTGCCATCTATTCTGATACTGCTCTATATAAAACGACAAGGAATGAAATGAAATATCCCGTCTCTAGACGGTATTGAGCTGGAACAACCTGTTCCATTCTCATTATGAACACATGGCAGTGACACAATAGATAAAATGTCCACGAGATACTGAGTATAAACATGGAAAAGTTGTGATCAAATTTGTTTTAAATCTTCTATTCTTTGTTTGTTTTTTAGCTTGTCCCGATTTTCTTCTTACAGCATTCAAGTTTCTTTTACGTTCCCAGCTTACTAATACATGCAGACCAGATCCTGATCTTATAAAAGAAATTCAACGGTTGATTCTTACATAGCATCACTTCCCTATCGTACTTGGTTGTAACTATCACTTGGATTAAGAATTATCATTCTTAACTTCATGCCAAATAACTTGATCAAAAGACTGGATTGTTACTAGTGCACCAATTTGTTTTTGAATCTTCAAAGGCTTGAAGAAAATTTTTTAGTTTTTCACTTTGAAATTATCGATGAAGCATCACGCACTACAAGAAAAAATGCCTTTTGCAACATGTAAAAGACAACATTCATTAATTGCATGTTACTAAAAGGGGTTTATTGCAACGTTCAGCAAGTGTATGTTGCCATTGGTTGACAAAATTAAGATTTAACAATGTTTTTTTAATGAATGTAGCTAAAAAACCATTTTGCAACGTTCACAGACCGTTGTTGTTATTTTCTTTTTTGCAATGTGCAATGCGCGTTGCTGTAGTGTTTTTGCAACGTTTAATGAATGTTGCCACTGATTAGTTTAGCAATGTTCAACAAAAATTGTTATTAATCAGTTTTAGCAACGTTCATGTGAACGTTGTTGTTCATCAATTTTAGCAATGTTCATTGAATGTTGTCGTTAATCAGTTTTAGCAATGTTCATTGAACGTTGCCATTAGAGGTTTTAGCAACGTTTACATGAACATAGCCGTTATTAGTTTTTGGACGCTCAATGAACGTTGTTATTAATCAGTTTTAGCAACGTTTACGTGAATGTTATCGTTGATCGGTTTTAGCAACGTTCAATGAATGTTGCCATTAGAGGTTTTAACAACGTTCACTTGAACGTTGCCCTTAATTCCCCCAGACCACCCGATCGACCTACCCAACCCGGACCCAGACCCGGACCCGATTAGTTTGTTAAAAACTTAAATTTAGGCTCCAAAGTCCAAAACACAACCACGACCCTAATTTCTTCCCTCACTCTCGTCTCCGCCTCTCACTCGTCTCTCATCACTCCCTCTCTTACAATACTCTTTTTCCCTTTAATGGTAGTGAATGCTGCCGTCTCTGGGAGGCACCACCACAAGCATTTTGTGGTAATAATGTCTGCTGTCTTCAACGCTTTCTCATGCTCTCCCCCCATTCTCTGCCGCATAGCTGTGCTTCTCCGCCCTAACTACTGGCGGCACTATCGGTTCACCTCAACTTCTCTGATTACTTTCTCATCTAGCAACTATAAAACTCCAGCATCAGTGGTTCTCGCACGGGCTTGGCAATACTTATCTTCCATGGTCAAAGAAGATTAAGTAGCTTCTCGTAAGGACATAATAATAAATTCACAGTTGTACTTTAATAAATTGTTAGTTTATATGATAATTGGAAAAGCAAGATTGGCAATCGGATTTTATTTATTTTTATTAATTTACTATTTGTTGTAGCTGATGATTTACATTTCGAGGGGCAGCTCAAAACAGTGGAAATATTGAGAGCGAAGAACAAGCGAACAATCGTGTTTTGGTTTATCTATTTCTTTAAATTGACGAAAAATTTTAATTGTTTTCAAGATGATATTGATAATGAATTCTTGAGTCAATTGTGTTGTAACTTTTAAGTGTTGGGTGGATGAATTGAAATTATTGTGGAGATTCTCTGAAAGCAAAGAACCTAGAAAGGGGCTTTTTACCTTTGCACCTTGAAGGAGACTATGCAATAAAATATATCTTGCTGGCTGTTCTGGTTATGATATTTTGGGAATTTTTTACTGTGATTGTTTAGCTACCTGGTAGCTATACATTTAATTTTAGTAATACCTTTGAATTCCATGCTACCCTTGATACGTGGACTACCTTATAATGGGGATGAAGTTAGAAGAAATGGAGAGCTCCATGGATCTGATCAAGCAAGGTGCTAAAACTATAAGTTGGTAGTTGTTTATTTTTCTGGATTGTTAAGAATAACTACTGCCTTGTAAGCTTTTGGATGCTATAGTTTATTTATTTTATTTTTTAAAATTGTATTAGACTATAATATAAGAACAAGAAACAGTGAAAAAAAAAACACTTTCTTGCAGTTTCATATTCCCTGGTGATCATGCTCTAGCAATTTGTAAATATGGACTAACTTTATCTCCCTATGATTTGTATCTTATTTAGAGAGTCTTCGAGTCAAAATTTGTCGATAGGATGTCTATTGTGAAGGAACACGAGTCATACTTTTCATTCAACTATGTCATTCCGTGTCCACTCGAAACTGAAAGGATTCATTGCCATTCCCCCGTTCCCCCAATCCTGAAGCCTTTGAGTTGATGATGACAAGGAATTAACTTTCTAAATGTGTATGAAAATATGCTTGTGGTTACTGAATATTCCTAGAACCTACTGTTATAATTTAGTTGCTTTATCCGACAGATTGCTGCTAGCTATCATGCAATAGCTATAGCTCTTTCATTAATGGAAGCATATTCTCTCAATGTGCAACATGAACAAACTATATTACAAATTCTTCAAGATAAACTGGGAGCAAAGGATCTTCGTACTCAAGTAATTACAAAATTCTCTCTCATGGTTTACCTTTATTGGTTTACAGTAAATTTCTATAAACATCAAGCTACACTGTACTCTGGGTTTTCTGTTTTGAGCTATGTCTTGTCCATGTAGTGGAAGGAGAAGATAAAGAGTTTTCTTAAGGAAAGTATACCTTTTGATACCTTATTTGATACAAGAAAAAATAGGGAAAGGGAAAGAATGAGGCTTATATTACTAAAAGATGGTAGATAGTTATTTAACTAGTAACTCTTCTTCATGTCAAAGATATTTATGCTCACTAATATAATTTTCCTTTAGGCACTTCTATGCCCATTATTATGGGAAGTAGCATCTTCAAATACATAAATGTACTAGCTTTGATTCACAAATAGATGCATATCAATAGGTAATTAATTTTGAAGAATGTTATAAAAGGGTAACTGATATACCGTGTAATTGCAGGATGCTATTGCATGACTTGAATATTTTGAATCAAAAGCTTTGGAGCAGCAAGAAGCAGCACGTAATGGAACTCCAAAATCAGATGCATCCATTGCCAGCAAAGGTCACCTGAGGTATTGATTTAGCAAACGATATGGAGTTCATTGAACGTTATGAATCCATGTCGTAATGTGTATTAAAAGAAGAAGATTTAAAAGAAAAAGATTGCATTACGACGAAGCATCAAGTATCTTAAAGGTGGGAGGCTCTTTTCTGTATGAAAGATGCAGACCAAGAAAAAAGTAACGGGAAGGATTTTTGAGAGCTACCCAACCCAACGGTTTGAAAATAGCAAGTTGTAAATTATCTTCTTTTATACAATAATTTTCTTTTGTTTAAGAGGAGTGTAAAATGTTTATTTGATGGGGCAATATGCAAATAAAAAAATTTCTTCAATTTATTATAATGATGTGTTTTGTCTATTTGGTATGGATATAATAAAATTATATCAATTTTATGCAAGCCAAAAACTTCTTTTTTATTTTGTGGTTGATTTGGTTAATAGCTATACAAACAGGAAAAATGTGAAAAAAATAAAAATAAAAATTGTAAAGACCTATGGCAACATTCAAAGAACGTTGCAAATAACCATTTTGCAATGTTTAAATGCCAAAAAATAAAAAAAATAAAAAAAATTAGAAATGACCTATAGCAACGTTCTTTGAACGTTGCCGTATCCTTATTTTGCAACATTCAATGAACGTTGTCGTATCTTTATACTCTATAGCAACGTCAAGGTTTGCAACAGAAACGTGAATGTTGCCGTAGGTCTTTCGCAACGTTTTTTGCTCGTTGTGAAAACTTGTTTTTGGTGTAGTGACGTCCTCTACTATATCTTTTGTTCAATTAGAATAGGGACGAAAAAATTGATTTCAAAACTCAATTCCTATCTTGATTTCTTACATTACCTATAGGGAAAGTAATCATCAAATAATGAATTAATTCTTACCTAACAATTTGCAATAAAAGCAACAAGAGAAGTAGTATAAAATACTACTCCATCCATTTCATAAAGGTAGGAGGAAATGGTGGCAGATAACCAACAAAAACATACAATTTTCAAAATGGCCGTTGACCGCTGTTTTAAAAAAAAATCATAAAATTGTAAAAACCTTAAAAACATTGAAAACCCAAATTGACCCTGATATTTTCACTCTGAAACCAACGTCTGGAGAAAGAAGAGGAAGGAAAATAAGGAAACCGACGAGTTTTCCTTGGAAGGAGATCGACCGGCCACCATTAGAAACGAAGAAAGTAAGTTTTACATAATTTTCCCCCATTAATCTATGTTAAAGGTTTATTTTGTTGAAAATGGTGGTAGAAATCTTTGTAGAATATGTAAAAATAGTAAAAACTAAATTTTTTCAAAGTTTGGGTACCGGAGATCGCCGAAAATGGCGATCTCCGACACAGGGGGCAAGACGGTTGTGTCGTCTATTTATACTGTTATTTGTTTTGTCTTTAAATAATTATTTAATTATTATTTAAATGATAAATAATTATTTAATTATTATTTAAATGATAAAAGAAAAATATAAATAATGAATAAATGTTAATAATCAAAATGCGCAAGTAAAATTTAATTATAGATTAATTGAAAGAAATTTAACCTTTTAAATAAATAATTAAATATTTACGTTTACTTGTTCAATAAATAATTTAAATAATCAAATAATTAAATTAAATAATTTAAATGAACAATTGAAATGAAAAACCATTGGAATAAATAATTAATTTTTCACAAAAATAAATAATGGACATGTAAATAATAATTAAATGATTATTTAAATGATAAATAAATAAATGTTATTAATCAAAATACGCAATTAAAATTTAATTGATAGAAATTTCTAACATTTGAATTAAATAATTACGTTTGCTTGTTCAATAAATAATTTAAATAATCTTTCCATATAATTAATTAAATCAAATAATTTAAATGAACAATTGAAACAAATAATGAAAAACAATTGGAATAAATAATTAACTGAAATGCACAAAAATAAATAATGAACATTTAAATAATAATTACATGATTATTTAAATTATAAATGAATAAATGTTAATATTGAAAATATTAATTAAAGTTTAATTGAAATAAATTTCTAACATTTGAAATGAATAATTAAATATTTACCTTCGCTTGTTTAATAAATAATTTAAATAATCGATTCATATAAGTAATTAAATTAAATAATTTAAATGAACAATTGAAACAAATAAATGAAAAGCAATTGGAATAAATAATTAACTGAAACACACAAAAATAAATAATTAAATAATGAACGTTTAAATAATAATTAAATGATTATTTAAATGATAAATGTATAAATTTTAATAATCAAAATATTAATTAATGTTTAATTGAAATAAATTTCTAACATTTGAAATAAATAATGAAATATTTGCATTTGCTCTTATTCAATAAATAATGTAAATAATCGATCAGTATAAGTAATTAAATCAAATAATTTAAACGAACAATTGAAATAATTAAATGAAAAATAATTGGATAAAAATAATCAAAGTAAGTAATTAAAATGTAGATAAACAATTGAAATAAATATCTAACATTTAAAATAAATAATTAAATATTCGCTTAATAATTAAAATAAATATTGAATAAACAATTAAAGAAAAATATTACAAATAATTACATATTTACGATTATATGTTCAATAAATAATTTAAAGAAAATAATTAAGTAAACAATTATAATAAATAATTAAAATTAAGCATTCAATAAACAATAAAATAAATGTGAAATAAACAAATAAACAATCGAAATAAATAATTTAGATAAACAATTGAAATAAATAATGAACATTTAAATAAAAATAAACAAATTAAATAAGTAAGAAATATAAATTTTTAAAATAATTTATTTAAATATGTAATTAAATATAAATAATCAAATTTAATTAAATAAAGAATTGAAATAAATTTCTAACATAGGTTAAAATAAGTTGTGAAATAAATAATTTTATAAAAATTAGTTTTTCCTTTTTTTATAAGTTGTTGTGTAATTTTTAATTCATTTTCTTTATTATCTATTATTTCGTGCGTATATTACTTACAGTTCGGTTAGTTGAATTTTGTGACTTTATGTTTCAAATGTTCTAACATTTGAAATTTTGCAAGATGGATTACGATTTGGACGCAGCTTTGAGACAGGTTCCTGACAAAGTTACGTCGAACTGTAACTTTGACAGCTTCACAGCAGTGTTGGATTCACTGGACAAGGAGCACACAGAGATATTTCGTTAATCCTGTCTATGGCCCCTGTATTCACTGCGATCTGTACAGTTCTCTGAACAGTTGATCGATTCATTACTGTGTCAGCTGCTTAAGCCAGTTGACGGAGATGCCCTCTACTTTGATCTTGGGGGCAAAGTTGCTACATTTTCTATATTCGAGTTTGCCCTCATCACTGGATTGAGATGTACGGGCGAAGAGGCAGCGAGGGCCAGTATTTCGACAGACAAGAGGCTGCTGAATGATTATTTTAGTGGGCACACGACAGTGACACTGGTGCGGTTAGGAGATGCATTCAGGGGATGCGACCAGATGTCCGATAAATTGAGGTTGGGAATGGTGTTTATACTAGAGAGCGTATTGAGGTGTCATCACAGAATGACGTCGATTGACGTTTTTCATTTGCAAGTTGTTGATGACATCGATACGTTCAACAACTATCCATGGGGGGAGAGATGCTTTTTCGATACTTTACACGTTTTCAGGAGAGGGCATTTGATGCCTAGGACAGATAGGTCGAAGCGTAAGTACGATATATATGGCAGGGCCTAGGACAGATAGGTCGAAGCGTAAGTACGATATATATGGCCTGCCGTTAGTTTTGCAGGTAAATGTTTAACGTAACGCGTTATCCATTTTTTTATTAAATTGTACATATAATAATCGTAATTGTTGCAGATGTGGGTCTACGAGACTGTTCCCATCCTGACTGGTCGGTATGCGAGGAGAGGGGATACATGCATCCCTCGGATGCACCGCTGGCGAGCACAAGACAAGCCCCTTGCAAAACAGCTATCAGTTATCTTAGACGATCCTGAGGTACGTATTATATATTTGCGCTTTCTGTTGTATGTCATTTTCGAAACTGGATACGTGGTCAGTAATTCAATGAAATGTCAATATGTCAGTTTGAAGTCCTCACTGAGCTGACACCATCAATCGAGGAGGAGGATCAGATTTATATCCGTGAGTTCTTGACAGATCGTGCTGTTCGAGAGAGCCCTGAGTCCATCGTCGATCGGGACACGGTATGTTAATTGAATATAATATGTTGATTATCATTATAATTTTTTAATGAAGTTATTGATTTGTAATGTTTCTTTTTTCAGAAGCGCCATCGACTATCACCTCCGCCGAGGATGTCACATTCCCCGAGGATGTTGCCTCTGCCGAGGGTGTCCCCTCCCTACATGAAATCACCTTCGTCGAGAGTGTCACCTCTCTGCACGAGATCACCATCTCCTGTGTCCGGACACCTCCCATGTGGATCAGCTGCACGTAGTCAGAGTGCTTCTATCGATGATATGTTCCGACTTATGATGGAGATCAGAGGCGACGTAGTTGGCTTACGAGGCGAAGTAACTGACTTACGACGTGATGTCGGGATGGTACAGGTCGGTTTAGCAGACCTTTATGCTGAGGTCGCAGTGATATGAGGCGACATAGTAGGCTTGCGTGGGACTGATGAGTAATGATGGAGGGGGTGGAGGGACAGGCGGCTATCAGGACGGAGGGGGTGACAGAGGGATAGGTGGAGGGGATGACGGAGGTATAGGAGGCTATCGGGACGGAGGGGTCGGTGGTTATCAGAGTCGAGGAGGTCAGACGGGGTATGTTGACTCGTTGTGGGTATCGGATGATGCATTAACTTCATATCTCAATGGCCCGATAGATATGGAGATGGAGATGGAGGATCCGGCCCCGATGGAGACGAGGGGGGTACCCGAGGCGACGGTCGGGAGGGTGCCGGAGGTGGAGATCGTCAGGGTGTCTGAGGAGGAGGGGGTCGGGAGGGTGCCAGAGGAGGAGGTCGTGAGGATATCGGAGGAGGAGAGGGTGCCGTCGAAGGAGGGGGTACCCGAGACGGAGGTCGGGAGGGTACCGTCGGAGGAGGGGGTACCCGAGGTAGCGATCGGGAAGGTGCCGTTGAAGGAGGGGGTACCCAAGACAGTGGTCGGGAGGGTGCCGGAGGTGGAGGTCGTCAGGGTGTCGGAGGAGGAGGGGTTCGGGAGGGTACCGGAGGAGGGGTATCGGAGGAGGAGAGGGTGCCGGAGGAGGAGGGGGTACCCGAGACGGAGGTCATCAGGGTGTCGGAGGAGGAGGAGGGGGTATCCGAGGCAGAGAGGGTACCATATCAGACGCCAGACTCGCCGGACGTAGTTTTTTTGT